AATCCTGAATTTAGAATTTTCAGCTGTAACTACCTCGACTTCTATTTCTGAAGGTTTGAAATCAATAGAACAGTAGACAGGTGGGTAGTCTCAGTTTCCACCCATCAAATTTCCAATCAAATTTATTCTTCACTGTTTTCTCAAGGAAGCTGGTGGACTCCGTTTGTTTAACTCTTGCTGCAGCGGTTTAAACCCACTGAAGAAACCTGCAGGGTCACATTTATCCACCTGAAAGCCTTGTTCTTCATTTGTACCAGTGATTTTCTTTCTTTCTTTTTTTTTAGAGACAGAGTCTCACTTTATCGCCCTCGGTAGAGTGCTGTGCCATCACAGCTCGCAGCAACCTCCAACTCCTGGGCTTAGGCGATTCTCTTGCCTCAGCCTCCCGAGTAGCTGGGACTACAGGCACTCACCACAATGCCCAGCTATTTTTTTGTTGCAGTTTGGCTGGGGCTGGGTTTGAACCCGCCACCCTTGGTATATGGGGCTGCTGCCTTACCCACTGAGCCACAGGCACTACCCTGTACCAGTGAATTTCAACTGGTGTGTCACAGCACATTGGTGTGCTGTGAAAAATTTTAAAGATCATCAATTAAATTATTTTTGAAAGAAGTTCGAAGCACATTAAGTATATTCTTTTTCTCTCTCTATATATATATACTTTTTTTTGAGATGCAGTCTTATTTGTCACCCTTGGTAGAGTGCCATAGTGTTATAGCTCACAGCAACCTCAAACTCTTGGGCTCCAGTGATTCTCTTTCTTCAGCCTCCTGAGTAGCTGGGGCTACAGTCACCTGCTACGACACCTGGCTATTTTAGAAATGGGGTCTCACTCTTGCTCAGGCTGGTCTTGAACTCCTGAGCTCAAGTAATCCACCCACCTCAGCCTCTAAAGTGCTAAGATTACAGGTGTGAGCCACTGTGCCCAGCCATCTTGCTCTCTCTCTCTCTCTTTTTTTGCAATTTTTTTGGCTGGAGCCAGGTTTGAACCTGCCACCTCCAGTACATGGGGCCAGCGCCCTACTCCTTTGAGCCACAGGCCCCCACCCTCCCACTCTCTCTCTCTTTTTTTTCCAACATAATTTAAGTGTGCCATGCAAGTTTAACTATAGGTTCAAGTGTACTATGAAATTTTTTTAAAAAGGTAGAAAAATGCTGATCTATACCAATTAAAATAATACAACAACCAAAAGGCCTCATTTCAGCATTCTGTATGTAGACCTGAGAAATTTCAGCAACTCTATTACACAGCATGTCCATAGGAATCTCATAGCCATACTTGTATTTCCAATAAGCCGCCTCATAGCCTGCCCTCTGTACCTGGGACCTGCTGTCAGCTGTCATTCCTATCATCAACGTATTTTCTGTTATCTTGAATAAGTGAGTCACTGTGCTGGAATCCAATAATTTATCAGACACTTTCTTCTGTGTGACAACTACTATACAGTCTTTTCTACTGAGAGCTACTGATGTAAAGCCACTCTGGATAATATATTCTATTTGGTAGAGTGGCCCTTGGGAGAAAAAATGGTAATGTGGTAGTCAAAATTATTGCTGGAACCATGGGTCGTTTTGGCGCGCCCACTACTTCCAGCACAGCATCTGGGCCCCACAGCTCCTGCACCACGCGTACAAGCCCCTCCCCCCTCAAATTTCAGTGTTAAAAATGGTCGGGTTGGAGGAACTCTTACAGAGTACCTATTTCAATCCCATTACTCTGTAGGTAAGAAAAGCAAGGTCCACAAAGATACAATGATTTGCCAACAGCCTTATGGCTAAAGCTGAGCCCTGTCTCTGCCATCCTAGTGTTTGACTCTAAGCAACTCATGTCACTGCTGTGTGCCTCAGTTTCCTCTCTACCAATTGAAGTCTAGAATCTCTTCCTTACGAAGTTGTCTAGAGGATCCCATGAAATAATGTATGTAAATAATGTATTGTAAGGCTTTTACTTAAAAAAGTAAGTAACGCAAATATCAGAGCACCAAGGACAAAGT